AAAATGACCTATTTCTAGCCAGAAAAATGTTTAACTAAAAACAAAACCCCATTATCAGGTATTTACAAGGGCTTAAAAGCCTAAGCTCATCTTCAGAGTGCACCATGTCTCTGGGGCCTTGAAAACTGCTTTAAGTTGTGCATTCGGCCTTCTCACCCTGCCTCCTCACTCACCTCTGACCTCACGGGCTTCTGAAACCTGTGCTCTGAGCTGCCTCCTCCAAATGGTCCTTGATGCCAAGCTTCTCTGGGGCGCTTCAGATGTGCCCGATGTGTTATTGAAAGCCACCACCTACTGAGGGCTGTTTCACTCTCTGTTTCTTTACATCTCCTGTACATGTCAGAGTTAGGAAACTAGGGAATGTCTAGAACATGTGTCCGTTCACAGAAGGAATGGAAATGGGGTGGAAGAAAATGGGAAACCAAAGCTGACATTAGCAACTTGTTGGAAAACAAAACAAGGCTATTAGTTAATGAGGCAGTGTGGTTCCAGGTGGTCAGAAAACCACTACTCATGACTTTCCATATGGTTCTATGGTGCGAATCCGATCCGGGTATTCTAGGCTGTGGGGATGCCAGCAGGCATCAAAAATTAAGGGAAAAAAAATGAGCAAGAAGCAAATGATAGGGATGTAACCGTGAAATGGGAACATAGTTTATTGCTTTAAAAAATTATTAAGGTACATCAAGTCCTTGATTAACTTCATTTCCTTCAATGTGTTTTCATTATAACATGGATGAGAAAAAGATATTTGAGGACCTGGTTTCGTTATATGTCATTTATCTTAAAATTGCAGTTTCTGAGAACCTATTGACAAGGTTACTTTAAGTGATAACTTACTGGAGTACTCAAATGAGTTTCTAAATTTAATAACAATTTTTATTTCTAGAAGTGAAAATGGTTCATTTGGTTCTCTTTCAAATTTGCTCATTCTTTTTTCAAGGGTCCTGTTTATTTAATTAGGTTTCTACACCTTCTCTCTTTTAAAATTGTAGTGAATATTTATTTCATTGTTTTTTTTTTTTTAATTATGAGAGCTTGTTCCTGGTGCACCAGTTCACCTAGCTGTTACCCGTGCTGACTCTCCCTCTTGGTGATTCTTTTCACATGAGGTGACAAGACAGCAGAGGCAAGACCATAGAATTTTTGAGAGGGAAAGAGTCCAGTCAATTATATTATCAGTCAATTATATATATTATATTGCCTTTTGTATGAAGGCACAAAACTCAGATAAAAACACCAACATCACGCCCTTGTTTGAAAAAGTAAAGTTACATACCAGCTAAGATACTTCAAGGATCCACAGAAGAGGGAAAGAGGGAATACAAGCACTGATGCTTCCTTTTCCTTTCTAAGAATCCTTCTTAGGATATATTCTAAGATATGCCCAGAGATATATATTGTGGCTATTAAAAAGAGGGAAACATGGAATCATCTCAGATACAATAGCGGAATATTCACAGGCCAGAATTTATAAAGTTTACTGATGACACTGAGGACTCCTATGACACAATGAAACCTAGGTTCGACAATATCACAGAAAAAAGAGACACAGAAAAAAGACTGGAAGTAAAAAAATCACAAAACATTAACTGTGATTGTTTATGGGTGATAGTGATGGATTTTGAAAGTACGTATTTCTCTCCGGTTTTCTATGCATTGTAAATGTTCTCCCATAGTCCATATTAATTTTATGTCAGAAGATATTAAAATGTATGTTTTTTAAAATGAAAACTTTTAAGGGTAACAACAGTTAAGAAATACCTTGGGTAGTATTAAATACAAAAATTCATACACTGACATCATCACCCACACAGCAGCCAGAGTATCTTTTTAAAAGATTGAGAGGGGTGTACGGATCATTTCTCTCCTTTACTCAAGACATTCCAAGGCCTCCTCATGTCCCTGAGTAAAAACCAAAGTCCTTAAAGGGGCCTACACGGGCCTTCTGCCTCCTCTGACCCTGACTTTGCCCCATTCAGTGGTCTCATGCTGTCCCGGCTCAGACCTACAAAGCACACCTACCTCATGGCCTCTGCACTCACTGTGCCCTCCACTTGGAAGGCTTTCTGTCCCAAAAGTCCGAGCTCGGAGATGTTGTTTTATCAGTGAGCTCTTCCCTGACCCCATGTAAAACAGTAGCTGCCCGCCATTGCCCCCTGCGCCCTTCTCCCTTTACCTTGAGTACTTTACTACAACCTGTGACCAGGCAGGTTTACTTTACTGTCTATGACCTCCCTTCAGCAAGAAGAGCTACTTCCCCTGGCATATAGAAGATGCTCAAAAAATTTGTACTGAATGCCCATGTAGATAAATACATTAGACTGTAAAGCCTCACAATCGGGGGCTGAGGCTCACACTGACGAGCACCAAACAGGTGGCAGGCCAACCTGACAGCCCGGGGGACTCACTCCAGAAAAACTACTTTCAAGTATAACTAGAGATGATGGAAATGAAGTGTCAGAAGGAAAAAAGATAAGAGTGTTTGGGCACAGTGGGATAAGAGTTTCTATCAAAAAACTCAAGTTCTTCCATCAGGATGTGGCTTGTGCTGCAGGGCAGAATTCCAAATTTTATCACAGACTCAGAACCAGCTATATGTGGCGTTTGAAATGACGCGCTAAATGCTCTTTTTATTTAGCTCTCTGCTGTGATTAGGTATTTTTCTAAAAACAAAAACAACAAATTAGGAAACCAATTACCCACCTTATCACTTCCCCACCTCCAAAATAGGCAGGAAAACACACTGACATGGCTGGCTGTCCCCAGGCACTCAGACTCAGACACACTTCCACGGGCCATCCACCCATTGTCCACTGAATGCCCAGGCTGCCTGGTGCTGTAGAAGGCCAACTCGGCCTTCGCGATCTTGCTAATTTTTAATCTGTCTCTGGAAATTCAAGGACGAACTGAGCACAGTGAATAGTCTCATATGCTTAGCCTTAAGAAAGATAAGAAAATTCATGCGAAGCTATTTCGGACTTTCCTGGGCACTGCAGCGCTCTGGAGATTAGCAGCGGCTGCCCGTGGACCCCCGCATGGCAGTTCAGGACTGTGAAGGAGCGTGAGGGTGACTGGGAGTGGAGCCCAACAGGCCAGTCCCCTTTGAAGCCCTCCACTTAATTGTTAAGTTTGCTAAATTCATCTCTCCTCCATCCACCTTCTTTTCCTTGACAGCTCCTTCATCGCTGTCCTCCTACGGCTTGGCTGACTGGCATTTCATCCTGTGAAGGTGTCTCCCACAGACGCCAAGTTAAGGAGTTTCCTCTCTCTGGATATCTGCATCTTAAAAGGGACCTCCTGAATACCTGAGGACTTTCTGGCTCAGCAAGAGGGCGGGAGGACTCCAACAGTTACTGAGCACCTATTCTCTGCCAGATGTTTTGGCCAATATAAATATCTTGCTGAATTCTTACAGCATCTCTGTGAGATAGGTTTTATTTCCATTTTGGGTAAGAATGAAAAGTTCACACTTTGGTATCTGCCAGGTTCCAAAGACACAGCAGTGGTAGATGAAAACATTCTAAAAACAACAACAGGTAAACTTATCTGTGTTCCAAAACTAGATATATATATCTCAGGGGGTAAGATACTCAAAAAACGTTTTATTTTAGGGGCTGAGGTGCCATCAAAGATGGGAGCTGGTAAAGGGATCTCCCACCTGGGAAAGGAGCTTAAATGAAGTAGACACTGCCCCTCCACCCACCCTGCTCTCCTCCTTTCCCCTCCCCCCCAGACCAGAGCCTCTGGTTAGGTGCACATGGATACTGGAAGGAGCTGGAAGCGAGCAGCTCAAAACTGCCAGGACCAGTCAGCTGCCCATCACTTCCGTGAACAGCCTCACGTTACTGAAGAGTAGGTCCCACGAGCCTGGTGCACCTGGCTTGCACTTAGGGAGCCAGGACCTGGCTAAGGTGATGGAAAAATATCCCCCATCAAGGGCAGGGGTGGAGGTGATGAGCAGGGAGAGGAAGAAAGAAACTCAGTCCCACTTGGGGTGAGCTCAAATCCCAATTCTACCCGTCCCAGGGAAGCTGATGTTAAGAGGAGCCACAGCAGGGCAGGTGTCTCAGGCTGGGTGAAGAGGCCCAGCTGCGGGGTTACCCAGAGGGATACAGAGGGAGCAGCTGGGAGCTCAAAAGGGGGGCAGGGGAGCTCCACAGGGCGGAGTGGACAGAGGAAGGGCAGGACAGCAAGAGTCAGTGCAGGTCGCACGCCGAGGGCTTTCTGGAACAGAGCTGATTCTGTGGATGCCCGCATTAGAGTGAACTCACAGTACCAAGCAAGATAAAGATGAAAAAAAATCCCTGTCTGGAAAGTGAGACTTGGGCTCTCTCCGGCCGGCTCATTGTTCTGAAATGCTGTGCTGTGACCCTGCCCAGAGCCCTGAGCACTGCTCTTGGGGCTCTGCTTCTGATCCAGGCCCAGTGAGGAAAGCTGGGTTCAGGTTCGTGTCGCTCTCCCCCACCTGTTACTGCCTCACAGTCCTCACTGAGCCTCAATTTCTTTCTCCAACCTGGGGTCAGAACTAAAATCCCAGAACCGCAGCACAGGAAGCCCCTTTGGGAGTGGCATCCATGCGACAGAACACGGCTCCACCAGGTCCCCCGACCCCCACTAGCTAGCTCAGGGCCCACAGGTTACTCAACCTCCTGTTTCTATTTCCCCATCAGTGAAAGGGGATGTTAACAGGCCCCACAGGTGGGGCTGCTAAGGGGGACATAAATTCATACATGTAAAGAGCCCTGCAAGGTGCAGGCGCACATTCAGTGGGAGGGAATGCCCACTTCGGCTTACACCTGGCATAACAGACAGACCAGCCCACTGCCACCTCTGCACTGTGAACACAGCCGAGCCTGCGGGCTGCCCGGCCACCCTTCTCCCTGGCTACCTGGGTTGGTCGTCCCTGACCTCCGGAGATCCCCTCCCGCTGAGGCAACGTGAATTCCCCCAAATGCACCGCCCCAGCCCACCCCCACACCGGTGCCCTGGGCACCTACCTCTCTCTGCTCACTGCAGATCTTGCACAGCCACAAGGGCCGCTTCTGGCCAGGGGAGGCCTCGATTCCACATTTGGTGCAGACTTTCTGCAAGAGAGGGGACATAGGGATATAAACACTTCAGCCACTTTCTTTTTGGTTGCAGGGCTGGGACAACAATAAGAAGGAACATTTTGGCATCATTCAAGAGGACCATTCAACGGACGGCTGTTTTGCTTCAGGCTAGAAGAGTGGACGACCCAAAGGACATGATGACCTAAAACCTGTAGTTGGCCTACACACAGGTCTTCTGACACAGGCTCGCCCTCAGTTACATCCTGTTAGGGTCACATCAAAAGATAAGCTTGTGGGCCCTCCCTGGTGGAGCAGCAGGTTAAAGCACAGCACTAAGAAGCTTAACCCACTCGGCATGAGTTCGATCCCCACCTGCCCCGGAGGAGATCCACATGGCGTGGCAGACCTCTCCTGACCCGCCCGCTGCTCCCCTCAGCAGTGTACTTCGTCGATCTGCCTGTTCTGCTCCCCACTCTGCCTCTAGTGAATCCTCTCACCCTCCGCATCTCTGGCCTGTACTACAGCTCAATATGAATAAATAAATAAATCTTTAAAAAAAGAAAAAAAAAAAAGAGATAAGCTTGCTGATGGTCACAGGGCATCATGTCAACAGCAAAGGCCTAAAGCCAGGGGAAGATCCAGGGAAACTAAGCTGAATACGATAGGGCCTACATAGCAGTGTGTGTCAATCCCTGGAAACACGGGCGGGAAATGATGTTATTCAACAAGGGAGACACATCTGTACATCACCATGCAAAAAAACTCACGTATGGGCCTGACAAGGTGAGATGACATAGTGAGAAACACCAGTCAGAGTGGGAGCACTTGAATTGAGCCAAGCCCTTTCATTTGGCCACCCCCAGAGTGCTACTGCGTAAGCACGAGGCCCCTTCTATGGGGCAGAAGAAGGGGAGAAGTGTGAGGATCTGCCCAAGTTCACACACAAGCCACGGACTCAGATGTGAACGCAGACATGGTTGCAGCATTTTCTCCAGACACCGCCAGAGCAGGAATCTAGTTTCGGCACTGTTCTTCCTTCTACAGAATCGCTCAGGCTCCTGATGCGTAAATACTTATTTTGCTTCCCTGAAATGCACAGCCACATACAGTGGTGGGAGAGGTCAGATGAAATGCAGCCGGAGGTAGAGGGGGATGAGCTGGCCCTGAGGTTTGTCCCCAGCAACCCAGGCAGTCTGATTCCGCGACAGTGTGTCCTCCTCAGAGAACTGTCACATCAGCGAATCAATCTTCCTGCCATGAAGAGGCTGTTGGAAACCTGCAGGGCTGGGGGCTCTCTCCCGCCCTCCTCTGGCCCCCTAAAGGGAGGCTAGATTTGTTGCTTGGCCTTTTCTGCAGGCTGCCAAGTGAGCGAGGAGCACACCTCTCAGAGGAGAGGGAAATGTCACCAACTTGGCTTCCCAGAGCATGTCGGCACCGCCTGAGTGGGCAGCTGAGCCCAGCGAGGAAGGTGGCGGGGAGCCAGCTCAAGGCAGAAGGGCAGCTGAGACATTCGTGGGGGTATGCATTAGCTACCATCCGACACGCAGGCAGGGGAAATGGCATTTTTCTTTAATTTCTTCAAATAAAATGTAATCTGCTTCCATGACCCTTGTCTCTCTGGGTTGACAGGAAGTCCATCCCCCATCACAGTTAGGGCCTTTCCCTAGCTCTTGTGAGGGTCCCAGTTTCGGGTCTTTGGCTGCCATGGCTCTTGGGAGGAGGAAAGGGCAGATGACTTCTGTGCCACACTGGGGCTCAGGCTCTCCAGGGCCAGCACTGTCCTCTTGGAGCAGCCACTCCTGACTGGTTCACTCCCTCCCCACTAGAGATACCTTGCTCTGTCTCTGCCAACTCTCACCTCTACCTCTAGGGGTGGGTCCCCCATAAGCCCACAAAGTGGGCCTCAAGAGCCATCCATGGGCTTTTCCTCTCTGGGGTAGAGGAAAGAGTCACTGAAGCCTGCTCACTGCTTCCCTCTCTAATTCCCACCATCCCCTACAAATGCTGTGTGTGAGAGTGCAGGTGGCTCTCCCAGAGAGGTGAGGCTTCCTAGGCAAGTCCTACATGCTTACAGGGCTTGATGACCGCCTGCCCTCCAAAGGCAGAGAGCTGTGTTCCCTATGAGATGATAGAGCTGGGTATAAAGAAGTGATAAAGCCCTAATTGCTAACATTTATCGGTAGCAAGTGTGTGTCAGACACTGTGACTCTGCCAACAAGTATGAAATAGGTGGGTGGCAGATAAGAAACTGGGGTTCAGTGATTAAGTTAAAGATGGCCCATGAGTGATGGTCAAGGTGCAGGAGGTACCACTTCTCCCATCCCAGAGGAGAGCTGGATCACGCCCTCCCTGCCAGGTGCCAAGCTCATGCTCCAAGCTCATGCTCCTGGCCCCAGGAAGCTGGCTGGTGTCCTTGGGGATGTGGCTGATGGCAACATGAAAGACCCTGGGACAAGGCTTTGCTGGGGCTGGGGGTGCAGCCACACATGCTCACCAGGCCCACGGTTCCCAGCTTTGAGTCTGGTTCTGGCCTCTGTGCTATTACATAGGAGGAGGGAAGGAGGTTTCCAGCTCCAGACAGGGAGTCCAGTCTAGTGGCCTTCCCACCAGTACCCTGGGCTTCCCCACTACCTGCCCTTTGTGGCACCCCTCCCCCACAGACTTAGCCAAGAGGTGTGTGTGGGGTAAGACTGTCATCTTCATTTGCTTAGGCTGCTGTGAACAAAAGGCCACAGGCTACTCCGTGGCTGAACAACAGAGTCTGCGTCCCACACTTCTGAAGGCCGGAAGTCCCAGGTCAGGGTGCAGCCTGGCCTGGTGAGGGCCCTTCATAGACAGCTTCTTGTTGTATCAGTTATCTTCTTGTTGCACCCCCACAGGAGAGCATGAGTCCTCCTCTAAGGACTGAGGTGCCCCATGTTCAGGACCTCACTTAACCCTGATGACCTCCCAAAGGCCTCACCTCCAGATGCCATCCGGCGGAGGTGAGGGCTCTAACACATGGATGTGTGTGTGTGTGGGGGGGGGGACAGAGAACAAGAAGTGGGCCCCTTCTTCTGCTCCTGCACAGAGGGAGCCCTAGCGGTGGGCGCGTCATCATCTGTCTCAACTGCAGACTTCCACTTCACACCATCCTGTGCTGTCACCAATTTTATGTCCCCGAAATACAGCTGAGGCCACTCAGAGGTGGTGCAGCTGGTGTTCGGGGCACAGGCTCTGGAGTGAGACAGGCCTGGGAAGGCCCTGATCAGATGTCCTCATCTGCAAAATGGGATTCTGTCCCGAGACACACAGAAAAGCAGCTCTGAGTTAGAAGCACTTGTACAAGCCAGTGGTTATTATTACTGGGCACCCTTGGGCGCTGTTCTAAAACTCTGTATGAAAGACCCAGGCCTGTATCATCTAAATCATCAGCCACAGGTGGCTCTTTAAACTGAAGTTAGTTAAAATTACATAAAGGGAAAAGTCTCGCTCCTCGCTCACACTAACTACATTGCAAGCACTCAATAGCCATGCACGGTTGGCTGCTGACTGGGTGGCACAGAAATGGCACCCTCCATCATCACAGGAAGCTCTGCTGGAAGGGGCCGGCAGAGGACCCAGCACTCCCTTGGGCACTGCAGGACTCACCAACAGTTTTAGCAGTCTGTTCTCCCAACCCTCCCCCTCGCCAGCCTGCCTGGTCTCCACCCACCCTCTGAGTTGCTGATTCCATAGTCAGTGCCCCTGTGTGCCCATGGCCCTGACTGGGAGGTGGGGGCCCAGGCCTCAGGTGCGCCCAGTAAGGAACTACTTGCTTGCTCACAGATCAGCCTGCCAAGACTGAAGGGAGTGCCTGGTATGGCATTTAAGTGAGGCTTGGAGGATGGGCATCAACATGCCTGGGTAAACGTGGTCAGACTAGCTGGACCTCTACTGCTGGGGGACAGGGAAAAAGCTAGGAGAGAATGCAGAAAAAAGACGCCTTGTCTGCTACCCAGACATCGGGGCACAGAACCAGTTAGCCTGGCGACAGGAATGGGGTGAACCAGTTACCTTCCAGAGGCTGGGTCAAAGGTCTCAGGGTTAAAGGTTGTCCCCCAACTCCCCAAGGGAGTTTGGAATGTCCCAAACATTCCCTCTACCCCTTGCCCTGTGGGGGCCTTGAGGGATGAGGAGGTGGTATGACAGGACACTCCAGCCCTGCCCCTGCCATCCTGTTTACAGGCTACAAGCCATCACCGGTGAAATCTACACCAGTCCCCCCCATCAGCCAGGCTTCTTCATGCACCTGCCGGCTGGGGACTGAGGCCAGCAAAATGATAACATGTTCTAGTCAAATAATAAGTAATTATGGCTTTATTTAATCTCAGATCAGTAAGACAATAATGAACCTTTCCTCCTTGTGGAAAGGTTGGAACACCAACTTTAGTTGGTGTTCCTAAGTTCCATTAAAGAAAATTAAGCAGGGGTGAGCCAGCTGTGACATCAGCTTGGTGCAGCAGACACATGAAGTGCTGACCGGACCACCCCTGGGGTCTGAGGCAGCCACTTGCTGCCCTGTCTGGGCTGGGTTTCCACCAAGCGCACTGCCCTGGGCAAGCGGGCACTGGTTTTCCAGGCTTGGCTGCCTCATGCTTCCTGCAGCCTGGAGTGTGTCTAAGCATTAACTAAGCCATGTCTGGCTTCTGGGCCTGACTCAGAGAAGTGACCAAACCCCGGGCCTTCAGCCCAAGGTGCTGTCTCCTCCCTCCATGCATTCTTGTGCAAATGTTTATCCCAGCCCAGGAACACTAGTCAGGGGCAGTGGCTCAGGGTAGCCACGGGGCTTAGGCTTTGGGGCGGAGGACAGCAGAGTCTACCATTTGGAAGTAAACTTGGACCTGTCGCTCACTTCTGAGCTTTATTTCTTCATTTGTAAAACGGTGACAGTGGGCAGTTTCAGGCCACGTTGGGAGGATCAAGGGAGATGACTCACAAAAGTGTATCAAACACGGCTAGCATGGTATAGGGTGAATACTAACTAGACAAGCACCGCGGTCCTTGCCCACAAG